TTCAAACTATACCACAAAATAGAAACAGAAGGAACACTACCCAATTCGTTCTATGAAGCTACAATAACACTCATACCCAAACCCCACAAAGACCTGACAAGGAAAGAGAACTTCAGACCAATCTCCCTTATGAACATCGATGCAAAAATACTCAATAAAATTCAAGCAAACCGAATCCAAGAACACACCAAAACAATCATCCATCATGATCAAGTAGGTTTTATCCCAGGAATGCAGGGATGGTTCAATATTCGGAAATCCATCAATGTAATCCACTATAAAAACAAACTCAAAGAAAAAAACCACACGATCATCTCACTATATGCTGAGAAAGCATTTGATAAAATTCAACATCCCTTCACGATAAAAGTCTTGGAAAGATCAGGAATTCAATACCCATACCTAAACATAGTAAAAGCAATTTACAGCAAACCAGTAGCCAACATCAAGCTAAATGGAGAGAAACTTGAAGCAATCCCACTAAGATCAAGGACTAGACAAGGCTGCCCACTCTCCCCCTACCTATTCAATATAGTACTGGAAGTCCTAGCCAGAGCAGTTAGACAACAAAAAGAAGTCAAAGGGATACAAATAGGAAAGGAAGAAGTCAAAATATCGCTATTTGCAGATGATATGATAGTATACTTAAGTGACCCCCAAACTTCCACCAGAGAACTCCTAAACCTGATAAACAACTTCAGCAAAGTGGCTGGTTATAAAATCAACTCAAACAAATCAGTAGCCTTCCTCTACATGAAAGATAAACAGACTGAAAAAGAAATTAGGGAAATGACACCCTTCACAATAGTTGCAAATAATATGAAATACCTTGGTGTGAATCTAACCAAGCGAGTGAAAGACCTGTACGACAAGAACTTCAAGTCCCTGAAGAAAGAAATCGAAGAAGATCTCAGAAGATGGAAAGATCTCCCATGCTCATGGATTGGCAGGATTAATATAATAAAAATGGCCATCTTGCCAAAAGCAATCTACAGATTCAATGCAATCCGCATTAAAATCCCAACTCAATTCTTCACAGAGTTAGAAAAGGAAATTCTCAAATTCATATGGAATAACAAAAAACCCAGGATAGCGAAAACTATTCTCAACAATAAAAGAACCTCTGGAGGAATCACCATTCCTGACCTCAAGCTGTACTACAGAGCAATAGTGATAAAAACTACCTGGTATTGGTACAGAGACAGGCAGGAAGATCAATGGAATAGAATTGAAGACCCAGAAATGAACCCACACTCCTATGGTCACTTGATATTTGACAAAGGAGCTAAAACTGTCCAGTGGAAAAAGGACAGCATTTTCAACAAATGGTGCTGGTTCAACTGGAGGACAACATGTAGAAGAATGAAAATTGATCCATTCTTATCTCCTTGTACAAAGCTCAAGTCTAAGTGGATAAAGGACCTCCACATAAAACCAGATACACTGAAACTAATAGAAGAGAAGGTGGGGAAGACCCTCGAATACTTGGGCACAGGGGAAAAGTTCCTGAACAGAACACCAATGGCATATGCTCTAAGATCAAGAATTGACAAATGGGACTTCATAAAATTGCAAAGTTTCTGTAAGGCAAAGGACACTGTCAATAGGACAAAACGACAACCAACAAATTGGGAAAAGATCTTTACCAATCCTACATCTGATAGAGGGCTAATATCCAATATATACAAAGAACTCAAGAAAGTAGACACCAGACAACCAAATTACCCTATTAAAAAATGGGGTATAGAGCTTAACAAAGAATTTTCAATGGAAGAAACTCGAATGGCCGAGAAGCACCTAAAGAAATGTTCAATGTCCTTAGTCATCAGGGAAATGCAAATCAAAACAACTCTGAGATTCCATCTCACACCAGTCAGAATGGCTAAGATTAAGAACTCAGGTGATAGTAGATGCTGGCGAGGGTGTGGAGAAAGAGGAACACTCCTCCATTGTTGGTGGGACTGCAAGATGGTGCAACCACTTTGGAAATCAGTGTGGAGGTTCCTCAGAAAATTGGACATAGTATTACCCGAGGATCCAACTATACCACTCCTAGGCATATACCCAGAAGATGCTCGAACATATAACAAGGACATATGCTCATCTATGTTCATAGCAGCCTTATTTATAATAGCCAAGAGCTGGAAAGAACCCAGATGTCCTTCAACTGAGGAATGGATTAAAAAAATGTGGTATATTTACATAATGGAGTATTACTTAGCTATTAAAAACAATGAATTCGAGAGGTTCCTAGGTAAATGGATGGAACTAGAAATTATCATCCTGAGTGAAGTAAGCCAATCACAAAAGAACACACATGGTATTCACTCACTGATTATTGGATATTAGCCCAGAACCTTGAAATGCCCAAGATGCAACTCACAGGCCACATGAAGCTCATAAAAAAGGAAGACCAAGTGGGGGTTATTCAGTTCTTCTTAGAAGGAGCAACAAAATACTCAAGGGAGCAAACATGGAGACAAAGTGAGGGACAGAAACTGAAGGAGGGGCCATTTGAAGACCTTTCCACCTGAGTATCCACCCCATATGCAGTCACCAAAGGTAGATGCTGAAGTGGAAGTCAGGAAGTACATGCCGATAAGGGCCTGATATGGATGTCTCCTCAGAGGCCTTCAAGAGTCTGACATATTCAGAGGCAGATGCTCACAACTAGCCATTGAACTGATCATGAGGTTCTCAATGGAGGAGTTAGAGTGAGGACTGAAGGAGCTGAAAGGGTTTGTGGCACCATGAGGAGAGCAACAATACCAACCAACCACAGCTCCCAGGGTCCTAACCACCAGCCTGGGAGCACTTATGGAGGGATCCAGGGCTTCAGCTGAATATGTAAGAGTAGAGGGCCCTGCTGGGCACAGGGGGAAGATGAGATCCTTGACCTCATGAAGGCTGGACGCCCCAGGGGGTGGGAATTTTGAGGGTGGGGAAGTGGGAGTGGGGGGGTAGGTGGGGGTTACATCCACAGAGAAGAAGGAGGAGGGGTAAGGGGATGGGGGGTTCCCGGGTGGGTGGGGGATGGGGTAAGGGGATAACATATGAAATGTAAATAAAATATCCAATAAAAAAAAAAAACAAAAAAAAACAAAAAAAACAAAAACAAAAAAAAAAACAAAAAAAAAAGAGAAAGGAGAAAAGTTTAGCTGCAGGTAAAACACTGGTTTATTTGTCCTCCGTATTCTTGGCATGATATTTTACCTCTTGAAACTCCTCTAAGAGGACTTGGTACAGGTATATCATTCCAGAGGAAATTTAATCTAGGTTTTCAGAACCATAGGCTAGGGAAATTAAATATTTTACATTATTTAGATGAACAACAAGAATTTAAAAACACTTCCATTATGCATGAAATAAATAGCCTTGTGAATCATAACAAAGATTAACCTTAGATATTCTACTAAACCTTAAAATGTAAATAAATGAAAGGGAAAAAAAATTCCTTAAGAGATAATGAAACTTGTCAGTTTAGTCTTTTGAAAAGTTATTTTTTTCATGCAGTGATTGATCATATTCTCCCTTTTCTCAACTCTTCCCATATGATTATCACCTTTCTACCAACCTTATTTCACAGTTTCTCCTACTTCTCCCTCTATTTACCTTTCTCTTTCAGTATCTCAAAAAAAAGGGAAAAAAGAAAGGGAAAGAAAGGAAGAATGACATGAAGGAAGGAAGGAAGGAGGAAGAAAGAAAGGAAGGAAGAAAGAAAGAAAGAAAGAAAGAAAGAAAGAAAGAAAGAAAGAAAGAAAGAAAGGAAAGAAGAAAGAAAGAAAGAAAGAAAGAAAGAAAGAAAGAAAGAAAGAAAACAGACAAAATATATTTTAAAAAAGCTCACAAACAACAAAGCAAAACATGAGGTCAGTCATGTGTTGCTTAACTTCTTACTTCTGAGCTTGATGTATTGTTTGTATATCCATTGACACACAATCAGAGAAAACTAATTTCACCTTTCTAAGCAGGTTTCCATTCCAACTAGCTTCTTGCTTAAGGCTGGGACTTGGTGTCTACTCCCTGTTCTCCCTGCAGTGATTCTGACAGTTTTAATTGAGGAATCAGTACCATCCATACACAGCAGGACTGATACAAATACGACCTCAAATTATTTCATTTTGCTTCTGAGCTTTTACTTTTCATCTTGATTCCATATGGCTTACAGTAGTATACAGTTCTTTGATTCTTTTGTCAGCACTTACTAAAGTTTGACTAAATGGTGTATTTATAACAAAAGAAAGTAGGCAGCATAATGTTAATAGAGTTGAAGACTTCTGTTATCATTGAGCACAGATAAAACTTCCTAAGTCTCTGTCAACAAGTTTGCACCAAACATTCTCTACTTCACTAGGAAAAGTAACCTTATTGTGTCCCTGAGGATGGAGCCATGAGTTTCACTTAAGCATAGAATGAGCCACTCGTATCATATATCATGACTTGCTCCTTGGAAGTGTTAGTGGATGATGACCTCATTGTTTTCACTTTTTTTCTTCTTTTCCCCTTTTATTAGTTAAAAATAATTATAGAAAACTCCTTTAATACATTCATATACACATGAACAAATTAGTTTTTCTATGGATTGTAACCCTTGCGAAATCTCTGCCTAGTCATGCTATTAAAAATGATAAGCTTTAAGGTTAGAGATAAATGCTATCTCAGTGTAATCATGTGAAACTGGTAGGGCAGGATCCTTGATGTCTGCCTCTGTCCTCTTCATGAAGGCATAAACATGAAGGCATAAACATGAACACACACACACTCACAAATCAGATAAATAAATAAATAAATAAATAAATAAATACATAGTTTTTATGAATAAATACCAGTTGGTAATCTTCTGGTCATGCACAATGGTGAGAAATACAGATGATTGATACAGAGACATTGGCAGAGTAAATAAACTGAGTTTACCTAATATTTTATGAGGTAGATAAAAAATTTTCTTTCTAACTGAGCGTGCTTTATGTGCACACCAATTTTTCTTTTTCATTTACCTACAAGAAGATCAGGAAAGCAGTTCCCCATCACAAATTATATAGTTGAATGTTCTGAATTAGAGGGAACTTCAAGGATTAGCAGATCCTGATTGCAGTGAATTAGCCTTACCCTAGAAAAACCATCTTAATATTTGAATCTACCTTGCAAGGTAAGTATGTACTCACTAATATTAACTTTTGTTTAATAGTAGAATTTTGAATTATGCAAATAAAACATGTCATTTATTTGCCTGTGTCCCAAATAGTAAACTTTTTTTTTTATTTGTAAGTATTTTTTTATATTTTACATGGCTTGTTTGTTTCATTCTTTTATCTGTCCTTAGGTTTGAAATTAAATATTAGAAGGCAAGTAAGTTTAATTATTTGCCCTTCCTCTATATTTTGTTGTTGGTTTCGGTCAATGACTCATATATAGCTTGAAGATAATGGAGGCCCACAAGTTTAATTTATGATATGAGTAATTTTCAAGATTTAAAGAACAGATTACACTTGATCGATGGCACTGTTGTGATAATGGGTATGAGGAAATGAGATCTATGTTCTATCATTAAAGGTATAATTTCACAAATACTGTAGATTCTAGTATATGCATCATGAGTGAGTGGGACTTTGGGTGTTTACTGACACAATCACAGTGTGGCTTTGACAACTCTTCTGAAGGCTGATGTTCTTTTTTGTAAAAAAATAAAAGTAAAAATAAGACTAAATCATCAGAAGAATTCCACAAAACCATTTTGTCACATTTTATAGCTTATTCAAAATTTTTGGACAGTTGAACACATCAAAAGTGACAACTAACAATTAATAACATTTCCCCTCACTATAGATTCAAAGAAAAATACTGAGTACAACTAGCATTTAAAACCCCAGGAAATGCCATTGTTTTTCTTAAGAAGATATCAATTGAGATTAACAAAGCACCATGGGTTAATACCTTGGTAAGCATCATGGTAGAAATGTATGAAAGGCACAGTCAGCTCACATAGCAGGGAAGAGTTAAATGGAGGCTGCAAAACCAATGTTTTCAACAAGGCTGTAGATTCCTATTCTGTATTATAAAATTAACATTTACTAATGCCTTCAGTGTCTACTGTTCACCTTTTGGGATTTCTAGAGTTACAAGAGTAAATATTAATTATTTTCAGCATATAATACAATAGCAAATCACTACAATTTTAAATGCTGTCTTATAACTTGCTGTTTTGCCTTTGCAAATTATAGACTCATATAACATTCTTAAGTGAGAATCCTTTATGAAATCATGAAGAATGTAGAGACTGATGGTGAGTGTGATTTGGAAATAGAGCACAGATATTTTATAGTCTATAAGCATTACAACTACAATGCTTGCTCTTATGGAAAGTAAATAATGGCCAATATTATTTTTGCTTAGATAGTAGATTTAAGACAGGGAATTTTGGGAGAAAGCTACAGAAATTACTGCATGCAGGTATTCATAACAAAAAGAGGGACATATGATCATATACAATAAAATAATATTATCAACTGTTAGGATTATTGGTAAAGAAAAGATGGGAGATTTGCTTTATACGTAAGGCAAGTGTTAAATTAGGTAGCTTACATTCCTTCCTTCTGATGAACTATAATTTTTTTTGACAGATAGAAATTTTCAAATGTAAATTTCAGTTATTCTTAAACTCCCTCTAACAAAATATTCATTTAGTTTGTTTTCTCTGCCTCTCTTTCTTTACACACACACACACACACAAACATGCACCCTAAAACAAATCTGAGTAACTAAAAATAATCACAAATAATACTCCTATACTTATCACTATCACCAACCTCCCATTATAATATGAAGTTATAATAAGAGCACCATGGAAATGGATTAAAAACAGACATGTTGATCGACAGATTTGAATTGAAGACACAGACAAAGATCCACATACCTATGGATACCTGATTTTTTATAACGAACCAGAAACACATATGATAAAAAATGACAGCATATTTAACAAACGGTGTTTGTCAAATAGAAAGGTTTCATGTAAATCCAAATAGATCCATAGTTAACATCCTGCATAAAACTCAACTTCAAAGAAATCAAAGACTTAAACATGAAACCAGTTGTACTGAACCCAATATAAGAGAAAAAGGGGACTTTTTAAAGCTTGAAGTCATTGGCAAAATAACCCTTCCCAAATAAAATATACAAAAAAACAAAAAACAAAATCAAAACACTTTTCTTAACAGAATACTATCAGCACAGTATAACACCAAAAATTAATAAGTGGGGGAACCTCATGAAACTGAAAATTATGGATACCATCAGTTTGACAAAACAGTATGCTACAAATGGAAAGAGATTGTTATCATCTGCACATCTGATAGAAGGCTAGTATCCAAAATCTATGAAAAAAAATCTTTAAAATCTGGACTTTAAAAACACAAATAACCCAATTAAAAAATTAAATAGAATTCTCAGAAAAGGAACACAATTTTCTGGGAAACATTTAGAGAAATATTCAACAGCCTTAGTCAACAAGAAAAGAAAAATGAAAATGATCTTTGCAATTTTTATCACACACCAGTGACAGTGGCCAAGATCAATAAAACAAATGACAGCTCATTTGGCTCTAGAGTAAGAAAGTGTGGAGCAAGAGAAGTATTAATCTGTTACTTGTGAGATAGAACATTTGTACTACCATTATGGAAAGCCAGGAATGATTTACCTCAATGTCCAACATACTACTCTTGGACATATACCCAAAGGACTCTCCATCCTACCACAGAGACACTTACTCAAGCCCATTCATTGCTGCTCTATTCATAACAGTCAGAAATGGGAAACAGCCTAAATGTTAGTGAATGAATGAATACATGAAGAAAATGTGGCATATTTACAGAATGGAATATTACTCAGCTATTAAAAATTGAAGCTATTAAGTTCTCCGATAAAAGAATGGAGAGACATAGGAGAAAGCCAAATACTACTGTTCTGCTAAAAGAATGCAGAAATGAACTGACTCCTGATGACATTCTACTATCGTCATGTCACAGATCAGTGTCTTGCTCAGCCATCACCAGAGAAGCAAATAAAGAGGGAAACAAATACAGAGTCCTGCAGCAGTACGATGTGCAAATAGTGAGAGACCTTGGGATGTTCAGTCTTCTATGTGATGCCTGCATCAAATCTCTCCCCTTCGAGGGCTCAGGAAATCCTGTGCAAGAGGAGGTGGAAAGACTCATAGCCAGAGAGAATGAAGGACATCAAGGAAGTAAAGCCTTGTAAACACAGGAGAACCTATGTGCAAATGAACTCACAGACTGTGGCAGCATGCATAGGGGCTGCAAAGGTCTGGCCTAGATATCTTGGCAGTGCTAAATGGGGAAGTAGACACAACCCCTTATTCTTTACCCAGAAGTGGTCTCCAATTGATAATAGCTTGTACATGACAAAATAAAATCAAATTACTTCCCTCCAATGAGGTCTCACTAGGATACAAACCACTCTCAAATCCAGGCAACATGCTCAGAAGTAGATGATGGCCAATACAAAATAAACTCAAGAACATTTTGAAAGATCTTTGTCTCGTAATATTTTTGCAGTAATTTGTTGTTATTTTTCTTTTCCTTTTCTTTTTTCTTCTATTTTCTCTTATATGACTTTTGAATGCATGTTATGGTTTCTGTTTTTGTTTTTATGAGATGTGTGTGTGTGTGTCTGTCTGTCTATCTGTCTGTCTATGTATTTATCTGTTTCCTCTTTCTCCCTCTCCGTCTCCCTCTCCCTCTCCGTCTCCCTCTCCCTCTCCCTCTCCCTCTCCTCCCTCTCCCTCTCCTCCCTCTCCCTCTCCTCCCTCTCCCTCTCCTCCCTCTCCCTCTCCTCCCTCTCCCTCTCCTCCCTCTCCCTCTCCTCCCTCTCCCTCTCCACCCTC